CGGGGCTGTTGGCCAGGCCGGGAGAGAAAGAGAGGCAAGTTCTGATCAACGACTGCCACAGAGGCTATGGATCAGACCCTGCCTCTCTCTCTGCAGGCCTGATCCGAAGCCCTGGAGGTAGTCAGTGCTGAGTCCAGGCACCCACAGCAGCGCCCGCCATGGCAACCCAGCACTGACTTCCTGTCCAGTCGAGCCTTCGGTTGTAACGACCTGGCTCTTTATTATATAGATTAATATCTTCTTTATAGACATAAATAGTATAAAATGCAGTATCGGAGAACAAGCTCTGCACTCACACACAGCTGAATTAATTTAAATATTGGGTTTACTATCTCTGAACATGTCACTTAACAACTAACTGCAAGCCTCAGTTTCTTCATCTGTAAAATAGTTACTGTGAGCTTGAAATTATGCAATATGCTGAAGCATATCACATAGTACCTAACACAATTTAAGAGCTCAAGTAATGTTAGTTATTATATCATTGTTTTTTTCCCCACAAGATTCAATACGTAGGTACACTAATGCATACTTTCCGACTGAATAAGGACCACAGACTCTATTTTGAAGTGATTTTTAAAAAAAATTATAATTTGATTAAGAAATCTTCCTTTTTATTTTATAGTTACTTATTTTTCAAAACACCCTATTAGTCCAAATCATCTGCATCAGTGAGACAATAGACACTCTAAGAAGTAGCAAGGGTATAGAAGGATAGAACCACAAGAATGGACCTCAACTCAAACATTGAAAGGACAGAGTCAAAGGCAGAATCAGAGTAATGCTGAGTCAAAACAGAACAGCTGCCTTTGCCTCTTGAGATGCTCAAAGACATATTCAAGCTGCCCATAGCTGCTATTAGATCCTGCCAATCGGCTTTTTTTCTTTGCTTCATGAATATTCCATAAACCATAAGCTTTTCAATTCCCAAAGAATAGAAATGGTCACTATAAACCTCTGCCAGGCCATTAACAGTTTATAGATCCCATATAGTAACAATAGGTCAAACCACTACTGATGTAGACTCTGAAGGCAATAACAGAGGAGGATTTTAAGCACATTTTAAACATCATTCAAATAAGCAAACAGCCACACAAGTTGAAACACATCTTTGAATTAGCAAATTTCACCTATCTGATTAGAATCTCTACTGAAACGCCAAATCTTATAAGATTCCAGAATATTTATTTACACTAACATGTTTTAAAATTTTGCTCTTAACATACCTTTCCCCTTGATTTCCTCCTCCTTATTTATCCTTTTATTTTCTTCTCTCTCCCTCAATTTTAATATATCCTCAACCTTAAAAGTTGAACTTGATATTGAAGCCATTCAATGGCAACTGACGCTCCAAAGCCAGCTGTGCTCTGGCAGCAATCTGGAGTCAGGAGGCTGGTACGCCAACCCATTAATCACTGTCTTTAGAACAGACATTCTCCAAGTAAACTGCTGAGGAGATCTAAGTCATCACACATATACAGTACACTTGTAGAGGACATAAAGCATACGATGGATATTTTAACTACATTTATTATAAAATGTCTTTTCAACTTTTAAATGCTAAGACTCTATGCCCTTCACAAATTTCATCTTCTTGATCTTGAGTATGCCATTTGCACACAGCACGTGACCCAATGCTGTCAACAGGAGTTGCTGAAATCAGAGTAGACTTAGCCAATTGGATGGGCTCAGCCAAGCATTTACCAGCAGTGACAATTACTATAGTGAAGAGATATGTTTCAAGGAGCAAATAAAATATTATTGGTTTTGTTCCCACATTTGGAAATTCTGAAGAATAGTTTTATTCTGATTAAGTGGCACTTTTAAGTATTTATAATATTCTACTCTAATACTAATGTAAGGAATCTCATTACTTTGCAAAAATGAAAAAAGAACTATAGCAATTCACTATAAACAGAAAAAATTAGATATGTAAAATGTTTCTACATTTAGAATCTTTGGAAATGAGCAACTACTGGGTCAAGAGGGAGTTAATAGCTATATGGGAGAGTCAGTACACTTTATAATTTCAACATTACTAGAAAATCATAAGTAGAAATATGTTGATCTAAAATTTAAAATTAACCACCAGTGATATAAAACTATGACATATAGCTTCCAAAGTACATGAGAAACAAAAGAATATGAAAATTTTAGCAATAAAAATACATTACAAACCTTAATATTAAGAAATAATGTTTTAAAATATTATAACCAGACCAAATATAATTAGAAGCTAAAGGCATTATATGGGGGGAAAAGTTATTTTATGATTAAATGCATAGACTAATATAGAAATGGAGCAGTTATAAATCTTTACATGTTGAGTGTCACATATCTAAGTGTATAAAACAAAAATAGTTAAAATACAAAACAAACATAAATAATCATAATATTAGTAAGAAGATTTTTCATATCATTTTTGGTATTTGAATGATTAAGAAGAGGTGACTGATTAAGAGGGTGATATAATGATGTTTTAAGTAAAATTGATTTAATAACTAAAATTAACTCCTTTCAAATTGCCATTAAACATTTATAAGCTTTCAGCATAACTCAGGGGGTAACAAAAATATCAATAACATTCAAATCTACACAGGTAACATCTTTGAGCTAGAAATAAACAGTGGAGCTAAATAAACAAACAAAATCCCATTTGGAAACTTTAATATTTTCTTCCCAATAATTCTTAGCTTATAGAGAAAAGCAGTAACATAATTGAAGAATATTTTGCAAATAATTATGATAATATAGAAAGTTATGAGTATGGTCAAAACTATATGCAAAGGAAATCTCATTGTAATAAGAGAAACTTTATTATTAAATAAAAAGCCATGAAAATAAGTAAGAATTAAACTCAAGAAGCTAGGTAAAAGAGTTAACAGCAGGGGTCCTCAAACTACGGCCCGTGGGCCACATGCAAATACAAATATTGTATTTGTTCCCGTTTTGTTTTTTTACTTCAAAATAAGATATGTGCAGTGTGCATAGGAATTTGTTCATAGTTTTTTTTTTAAACTATAGTCCGGCCCTCCAACGGTCTGAGGGACAGTGAACTGGCCCCCTATTTAAAAAGTTTGAGGACCCCTGGTTAACAGAATTAACCTGAAATTAAACGAATAAATATATCCAAGAATTGATATGTTTTAAAAAGGGTTATCTCACTCATATGTGGGATATACTGATCAACATAATTTGATGAACAAGAATAGATTCAGAGACAAGTGGTGGGGGGAGGGGAGGTTAGAGAACAATCAGAGGACTTGTAAGCATGCATATTAGCATAACCAATGGACACAGACACTGGGGCAGTGGGAGCTTGCCCAGGGTGGGAATGGCTGGGGGGTGGGATAAATAAATAAGGAACAGTAAATAGAATTATTCTACCGAGGTCTCAAATCAACAAAGGAAAGCAAATAAGAGTAAAAGGCAGAGAGGGCTACCTATGGGGAATGGGAAAGAGAATAATCAGGGTTTTTAACTGAAAATAGTATACAAAATTCATTCTGATAATTTTGAAAATCTTGATGAAATGAATTTCTTTAGAAGAAAATGTAAATAAGCTATCCAAACTTTCTCAATGGGATGGTAGTAATTTTCCTACCAGCTCACATGCCATTCTAGAAGAACCAGCACCCAGGGCCTTCTAGGGGCAGAGTTATAAACTGTATGACCCAACAGTTAATGCCTGCCCGGGTGAACACCAAACCTAATTTGTTAAACTGCCGTCTTCTCTCGGAGGACTTACTTCCTGATCACCTGTATGCTGAACGAAATCCCCTCCTCCTCATACTACCCCAGGATTCCTTCAGACCATCTCAGCACTACTATCATCTAACACTCCGAGTGCTTTATTATTTATCGTTTTAAAATATCATGTCTCCTTTTCTTTGTCTTACATACTTAAATGTAAACTCCGTAGTGTAGGATGTTCTATTGGGGGTGGGGAGTGTATATTTTTGATTCTCAGACCATAAACAGGGTCTGGCACGTCATTGGTATTAAATGTCTATTTGTTAAATGAATTGGGGGGGGGGGGAAGAAAGAAAGAATGAGCAAGTAAGAGAATGAGTTATAACCTACAGAGAATAAAGTTGATGATTTATATACATTTGGATTTGGGTACATACAAACAAAAGGAGTTTTAGACTACCATTTGTGGCAACTACAATAAAGCTATGTATAAATGACCACAGACACTTTGCTGATTCAAGAAAGAAGCTGAATGAGTGAGAGTGAAAGAAGGAGAGCAGAACATCCCAGGAGGAGGGGGAGGGGAGGGTGAAGAGGATGGTGAAGGGGAGGTGGGGAGCTTCCTGTTTGCTTCCTTACTTTCTTGATGATCTTGCTATGTTTGTACAACTGGAGTCCATAAGGAAAACGTCACTTTAAGTTTTCCATGTATTTTTTTAAATCACAAAATCACTTAAATGTCCAGTGTGAATTACAGTAGCTCTTGTTTGGTTTCCACATCGTTTTGGCTCTGTCCCTTGACAACAAGATTTCTCAATCTTCCATGTACATCAACTACAACTCTAGGTCTTCCTATTTATAGGTTTTATTTCCTTATATAATACAAGGGCACAGGCCCTGCTCAGCCCCATGGGATAGTTCTAACATGTTCAGAACCACTGCTTTACTCTGTTCAATGAACTCTGTTCAAAGCACATTTCCAACCCAGTCAAAGATAAGCACAGGTTCCTCTTAATAATATACAGAAGATGCTGCCCCTTTCTCTGAAAAACCTTTAATGTTGAAAAGAACTTTCAAACAGCCAGCGCCATCTGGCTCTTCCAAAGCTATTTAATCTTTAAGTCATTAATCACAATTATAAAATTTAAATTTATAATTATCCCTTCATATTTTCCTAGATTTTTAAATGTCTTACAAATTGTCACTGGTATTTCAAGTTTTCATCCCCACCCATCCCTCCACCCCCTGGCAATGTAAATTTAACCAAGAAACTCAAATCTTAAATTGAAGGAAATTGAGTCAAATACCTGCAGGGGTGCTTCAGGGTGCATTGCTCTCAGCAATGGAGCAGCTGTCATTTCCTGGAGAGCTTTCGATGTCTTCTTTTTGGCTTTTTCTATTTGAATATTGGTAAAATAATTGACAGCCGCAAACTCAATAAGGGCGGAAAATACAAAAGCAAAGCAGACAGCTATGAACCAATCCATGGCAGTAGCATAGGACACTTTGGGCAAAGAATGCCGTGCACTGATGCTCAGTGTGGTCATGGTGAGGACTGTGGTGATTCCTTTAAAGCAAAAGAGCAAAGAGACAAAATACTTCACCATTACTTCTCTGCAAAAACAAACAAAACAAAACAAAATAAAAACCTAGTGATCTGGTGGGTGGGGTGGGTGGTGGGGTAACAAACTTTATAATTCAAACCAAATCATCTTTGATGGAAGAGTCTAATCCTAGTGGTTCAATGGAATTAGAATGGGCTTTTCCATTGTTGGCTCAGTGTGCCTTTGATTAAGTTGTGAAAACTCACTTGATACCTACCTATTGGGTTTGCCAGATTGATTAAAAGTATATAAGGCACCTAGTGTAATATTGTATCTGAGCCAACATACCTGAGAAACTCCACACACACACACCTACTAGGAAGTGCTACTCATTGAAGCACTGGTTCTCAACCAGGAGTAGCAAATTGGTAGCATGGAATATTGGGGCATTTTCTGGGGTAGGCATGGTCCATTGCTATTGAGACTCACTACCAGAAAAAAACACAAATTGTAGATTCTTATCATCTTTAACTGAATATTACCTATTGAATTAAAATAATAAATTTACTAGTTGTGAAAGACAATTTGTATAAAGCAACAGATGTATATTCCTGAACAAATAGATTTATAGAACATTTTTGTATTAAAAATATTAAACATCTACCACCCACCACTTTATGGTTGGGAGGAAAGTATTTACAACAAGAATAGAGGTACTTCCCTTTCATCAATAGGCTCCTAAAGCATATCACCCCCAGAAGAGCCTTTTCCTCAATCTGGAAAAAGGTTAGTCCCTATTCTCAATGGAAAAATTCTGCTTGCCACTGGAACTATAGAGACATGAATTATTTAAGGATGTTAATATTTGTACAGTAGTTGTCCCTTTCTTTATCATTGTCTATCTTTATATCTAACCTGTATTATCTAGTTAAGCTTGGATATTTCTCTGGGGATTTACTAAACCCATTCTATATATTGTGTACAATTGCTCCTTAATTGACACGCCTAGTTGTTTGGGGATGATGATAATGATGACAACAGTGATGATGATGGAGGCATCTAAACCATATATTCCAATCCATGCCTATCCTTGCTGAAAGCCAAACTATATATGTTACACTGAAGAGATTATGAGCCTCATACAACAATAAAGGAATAACAGTATTTTTATTTGGGGAGAAATTATCTTGTCTTCTCAGATCAGCATTTAATTATACCTGCCTTGTATTGTTTCTTAGTTGTTCCAACTTTATTGGATGTAGCCTCTGTGAGAGCAAACGTGTCTAATGTTGCTCCAGGATTTACCATAATATATATCATAGTGCCAAGCACATGATAAATGCACAGTAAATAAAAGCTCATTTTTTTCAGCTCCTCACCAATCCATTTTCTCTCCAGTCCCTTCTGAATTGTCAATGTTTAGAACATGAAAAATTAGAGCACTGTGCAGTGTATGAGCTATAGATCTTAAAACAATCCATAAACTATACAGTGAATGGAATTGGAGAATTTGCTTGTATTCCCTTTTTAAAAACATTTTGTGATATTTTTAGCACTTTATTAGTATAAAATAGATTTTAAAATGTGTTTTTTTGGTCAAACATAAATCTCTATGAAAATGCAATATTATGAATTTACTGGAGTTCGTTTCAGAAAAAGACCTTACAAAGTTAAGGCCTCCTTTTTAAATCTCAGAAAAATGGCATCATTTCCATGCTGGCTGGGAGATGCATTGAATAAATCCTAAATTAGTTTTGAAAAATTTTAGCTACAAAGTTTAAAAATAAATTAATTTATCTTCTTATTCATAATACTTTAAGTTTAATGGCTTATTAAGTGTTCAAGAAAATTTGACAACTTTCTTAGGTATATTTCCTCTAACATCATAGAAATTATGCTGAAAGCAGTAGAAAATAAAATATGAAGAGTACAGCTTAGTAAGAATACTACCCAGAACTCATAAAATTCTTCAGAGATCATAATGTAACAACAACAACAACAAAAAGACCCTAAACAATAAAATCAAATATAAGCAACTTAGAATTCCTCATGTTGCTTTGAACATTTTTGGGGGGGTGGGGTGGGGGGAAGGGATAAAACAATTTATCCTGAGGACCAAAAGTAGTGCTCTTCATCTTCTCCTGCTGTCCTAGGAAGAAATTACCTTATTAATGTTGAGCAAGCAGAATACTAATGCAATTATTGAGCCATGAATCGAAAAATTACTTTGATTGTTAAGGGGTAAACCATCAAGTTCAGGATGTTAAATGATACTATGGCCATCAATGCAAATAAAATGTTAGATATGTGGCCACTTTCTAATTCTATTTCATTATTTCGAGTCAACTTGATTTTAAAGTTTGTGGAGTAGCCCTCCAAATAGTATGCCTCATATTTTATGACTGGTGCCAAAATTAGGATAGTGATTGGCATAAACAATTGGCTAAATATTTGAAGTGTCCATCTCTTTAGATATTAAAAAGTTCTCTCTGCCAGAAGTTCAAATTTAAAGAGCTCCCAGCATGACAGGGATGTGCTTCTTCCACCTGCTTTAGGTGAAGCATTTGGTTAAATAAACACCAACAGAATAAGAAACAGAAGCCAACCCTTCAGCTCAGAAGCCATGCTTTTGCTGTATCTAGAAAGACAGTGCATCTGTTTCAATGGCTTAGCTGGCATTTACCCTTGAAAACATTTCAATAACCATAGAAAATTTTTTGACACATTCAAGTATTGATGCCAGTCCGTTTTTAGAATGCTGAATATGCACTGCATTGGCTGGTCCAGGAGCTGGGAGAAGACGTGTGTGAGTAGGCTAAGGCTATACCCAAGAGCAAAATTCTGGCTGCTCACTCCTAGAAAAATGAACTAGTAATGACTTAGATATGCCAGTTGGCATTTATCCAGGTTTAATGTTTTACTATACTGGAATAATTAGAAAACTGAAAGGCATACAACTTTGGAGATAGAAGGCCTTTGGAGAGATTTAGCTTACTCTACTTCTCATATTTACACGGATTGGTTTTATGTGTGTGTGAGTGTTTGTTTTTTGTTTTTGAATTATCTCTAATGAATACCTGACCCAGCAAATTCTCTTCTTGAGCAAAAAGGAAAATAAGAATTAGGGAAGATAAATACAAGCCTGGAATTTTTTACCTAACTCTCAAATGAAATAGATTGCTAATGCCCCTCAATACTTAAAACTTAACTTTCTTAGAAAAATAGCAGCCCAGAGCCTCAATGAATAGTCTATTACCATTTTGACATATCTTAGGTTTTTGAAGACATACTTGTTGGGCATAATTTAGCTGCTCAATCAAAAACAAAAAAATATCTTGGCACATGAGCATAAGACAGAGGCAAATGTCACATATTAAGTTGAAAAGGCTACCCACAAAGTATATTCAGCTCATATCCATACAATCTCCACTCAGCAGCTCTGGAATATTCCACAAGCCACAATGATAGTTCCTGAAATATCACTATTATTTTTACTAGGAGAAGTTAAGGGACTAATTTAGTGCTCAGCTTTACCTACCCCCTGTAAAGGCAGAATGTCAGAGTAGAAATGGCAGAGTTTCCAAAGTTAGAGAGAAATTGTCTTGGGTTCATCACGTTTAAGTATATGACTTCATAAAAGTTTCTTCATCGCTCTGAGTCATTTTTCTTATTCATAAATATTAATAAAGCCTACTCACTGAGTTATTGTGAAGATGAAATAAGATGTCCCCTATCAGCATATGTCAAATCTTATAATCATTATTAATACAATTGCCATTATCTTTACTGTATGCTAATGAATTTCCTTACAGGGTCTTCTCTGGAGAGGAAATGCTGGGTGGGTGCAGCTGTGACCAATGCTATCACTCCCCACAGCACTGAACGTTTTTATGACTTGGGGATATACTGGACAGAACAGTGGCTACCAGTTTGTAGCCAACCAAGAAAACTTTCAAAACTTATCAAACACTAACAATGAACTACAGAGAACATTCACATTATAGCGTCAAGTTGTGATTCTCAAATGAGGTAGGTGGCAGCATGGTTGCCATAATAATAAATGATACTCAAATAATATTTACTGTGAAGTAGGCATTGTTCCAAGTGCTTTATCCAAATTAACTCATTTAATCCACATGGCAGCCCTCGGGATCTCATCCTGTTTTGACACATGAGGAAACAGGCAGAAGTAACTCATTGAAGGATCACAGCTAATACATGGTAGACCGTGGTGTTAGAACCTAGGCTCCTGGATCCAGAGAGTCTGACCTATGATACCATGGCCTCTTCATCAGAGGCACCAACAATGGGTCAGTCTTTTCTGTTCTGGAAGTTCTTTAGGACCATAAAAAATGAAAATACTATGTGCACAGGTGATTTTATTTTTAATGATGATAGTTCCTGAAAGGTTAATATTATTTAAACTAGGATAAGTGAAGGGACTGATATGGTGATCAGCTTCACATACTTCCTACCAGGGTCAGGCTGCCTCCAGGAGGAGGGGGAGGGGGAGGGGGAGGCAAGGGTGAAGAGGATGGGGAAGGGGAAGTGGGATCTATTAGCAGCTATGGGCAGCTTGAATATGTCTTTGAGCATTTCAACTATGTTCAAGTCACTCTGAAGACTACTTTCTACTTCCTCAACATTAATAAGGTAATTTCTTCCGGTTAGTGTGAACACTAAATGAAATAAATGCGATAACTTAGCAGAGTGCCTGTTAATACACAACAGAACAATGTTTCTTTTAAAAAACAATTAAAAGTCAAGGAAATCAAGTCAGAACAAAATTAACCTCCCCTACATAAGAGAAGTATGGGAGAGAGTAACTGAGATGCTCTAAGGGCTCCATACACCCTGTATATAACGAGCACTGCATATAAATCTAAATTCTCATTAGTCTGTGAAGAAGAGATGTATTGTCATAATTTTATGGGTGGAGAAAATAAGTGGCAGATTGCAGTTTGGACTACTATTGTAGTCCAAAACTTAGATTTGTTGCTTTCTCTCTTCCACACCTATTTTTTTCTTTTTTTTTTCTTTATTGATTAAGGTATTACATATGTGTCCTTATCCCCCTATTGCCGCCCACCCCTCCCCACCCATGCCCTCACCCCCCTGGTGTCTGTGTCCATTGGTTAGGCTTATATGCATGCATACAAGTCCTTTGGTTAATCTCTCCCCCTAACCCCACCCTCCCCTACCTTCCCTCTGAGGTTTGACTGTCTGATCGATGCTTCTCTGTCTCTGAATCTGTTTTTGTTCATCAGTTTATGTTGTTCATTATATTCCACACATGAGTGAGATCATGTGATATTTATCGTTCTCTGAGTGGCTTATTTCGCTTAGCATAATGCTCCACACCTATTTTTAATAGTTTAAATGTATTCAACGCTTGCAATGTGCAGTTACTCTTTAATTCTCACAACTCTATGTATCTTGTGCTATTATACAAGCTCACTGCCTTCCTAAGGTCACATCCTGGCCCCCATCAACCCTTCTGGGAGTTTCCCCAATAAGATTCCAATGCCTTTTCTAAGATTAAAGGTGTGTGGGTGGGTGGGGGCTGCCTATGGAAAATCCCCATAGTCAAGTCCACTGAAGAAACTATGACTCCTCATCATTTGTTTTCTACAGGATGGGGAAGTGGGATGAAAAGCTCCCAGGCCCCTCCCTAGCTCCTTCTCACCAGCATCCCTTCAGCTGTCAGTGATAAAGGCTATTACATCAAGGCTTTGACTCTACCAAGTAGAAAAGGCAGGGGGAGATTGGTATCTCTTGTGAGAACTGTTCTTCCATTCCAGAGAAATTCTGATTTTTTTTCCCTTCTAATATCACTACTGAATGCTTCCACTACTCACAATCAACAGAAAAATAATGAAGAAATATATTTAATCAGGTAAATAGCATAACTAATTTTATTTAAAAGCATGGCTGACATATAAAAGATGTATTTAACAGCTATAAAATTTAAAACTCCTATATTCTGGACTTCATATAGCTTAGAATATAATATATAAAAAGCCACCTTAAAAACAAAAAAATAATGGTGTGTTTAAAAAAAATGTAGATAGATAACAATGAGCTAACAACCTAAGCCTATACCTTCCAACTCAATGCATTTAAACCATTTGCATTTTGTTCCTCTTCATTAAAAGGCAAATGATTCTAGACTTTCATATTCATTCAGCCATGACTTTTGTTTTATTTTAAGCTCCCAGTGCATTTCATTTTAACACCTATATATAATTTTAATTCAATTACATAGCATTAGGCTAGGAGCCCAAGAATACCACCAAAAGTGAAACTATATCCAGATTCACACTCTTCACTTGCCTGCTCTCAATAAGGGAAAACTGATGGGCCCCAAAGAAAGGGATGAACTGCCTATATCCCCTCAAGCCTTATTACTTTGTATTGGCTGGATAAGAAATGAAAGCTTATATGATTCTTTACTCAGCACAGTCTGATATATTACTGTTTAATATTTTCTTAGAAATTATATCAAAAAGCTATTCCCATGAAATCATGAGCAAATATAATATGAATAAAAATACACAAGAAATGAATTTCAATTACCAAATACAGTCCTAGCTGGAACGGATTCCTTATTTATCCAGAATGAAACTTGTGAAAGAATCACTGTCATAATACATGGAATGTACGTCTGAATCATAAAATAACCCATCTTTCGTCTGAGGTGGAAGTATACCGTCATAACAACATATTCACCTACAAATAAAACATAATGAAAATGTATTATTGGTCCTGCAGCTATTCAATGGCTTCCAAACCATATTTTAGACTAACAAAAAGCATTCTAGGCACACACACACAAAAAAAAATCTGTTGTGCACAGCAAACAAACATGGAGAAATATACAGTTCCTAACTTGGGGGTGAGGGGGACTATATTGCATATCATTACGTAGAAAAGCACTTTTGTTCTACATGGTGATTAAGCAATTTAAGAAAGTAAGCTATAACTTTCAAAAAATTCTTATAGTGCTTTCTATTTTAAAGGTCTAGTACTATGAAAGCAATTAGATTTCATTTCCAACATCTTTTGAGAGAAAATTTAGACCTAACTTTAAATCACTGGAAAATGAAAATACATACACTTAAACCTTAAATTTAAAAATAATTTAAATACACAGATAAACATTTTATATATACATACTAGTATGCTGCTTTATTGCCTTAGTTTTAGGAAAGAACTGTATTTCTCAATGTTATACATATGTATACATATATGGAAAAAGAGACATAGATAACATAGAGCCATATATAACATTCCCAAGTTCAGGAATATTTTATTGACATTTAGACAAAAATCTAAAAAGCTAATAAGGAAAACAAACCATAAGATTCCTTGAGTTGATAAATTTTTAATGTTACATCTAAAAGGAACATATTAAGAGAGACTTAGGAGTCAGTAGCCTCATTCTCAAACTGTGAAACCAAAGATTCAGAATCCTCAAATCTCACTTGTTTTCAATTCCACTTGCAGGCTAGAAAATAAATGTTTTCAAAAATACTTTTTCCTGGCAATATGTGCATGTAAGAAATAGTTTCAGAACAAGCAATAATCAGGCAATTTTTCCCATTAAATATAAAGACTAAATCCTATGATTCTTTCCATTCACATTTTAAAAGCAAATACAGACCAAGAATCACCGAGAATAATCATCCATCTACCCATGTGACATCTTTAACATATACCCTCAGTGTATTTTGTAACTAAGCTTTATATTTTGCTTTTACTTTGGTAAAGAGAGGGAAAGCAGCACCACAAAATTGGGCAAAATAAAAAAAGATTTTGGAAAAACATCAATAAAACAGGAAAAGCCAGTGTCCAAAAATCAGGGGTCAGGATTCCTGTCTTAGAATTCTGTTGAAAATAATGTTAATATAACTGATTACTGGCTTTTGTCTCTGAATAAGAAAATCAACTCACATCTGAATAACTCAGAATTTATTTTAAACTAAAAATATAAATTTAAAAATTCTGAACTATGATTTATGCCTCAACTCTATTCCTAGAATATTTTTGTTGGCCCCCCCAAAACACTAGATATTTCCATTAAAAAGCTAGGACAAAACTCCATTGCTATTAACTTTAATCGTTAAAAGATCTCACCCGTAATGGATTTGATGGTTTCACTTGATACGGTTTGCCCAATCAAGTCATATTGAACTAAGCTGGAAGATTCCTTTGGGACTTCTACTGATTTCTCAGGACCTTTTGTCCAGGTATAAATCATCTCACTCTTCGGGTAAGCATCTGAATAAGAGCACAGAATGTGATTAGAGTTCGTACTCCTTTCTCCTCAGCACTGATTGATGGTAAACACTCTTTAAGAATATTATACTTGTTCAAGAAAGATGGAATAAATGAAAACAACAGTCATTATGACTTACTTAAACACGTTTAAGATTTAGAACACTGTAGATATTAAATAGCTTCTGCATATTTATTTTATGTCAAAGAAATTGAAGGAGGAGAGACTAAAACGAAAGCAACTATAATGCTATATCTGCATCAATGCACTTGGATATGTTTCTCTATTAATAAGCAGTTGAAAAGCAGAAATAATAACCCCCCCAAAAAAGCAGCCAAATTGCTACTTCTTTCCATTCCAATTCACTTCCAATGCTTGACCAATATTAACTCTTCTGTCCTAATACAACTCTGCCAATTAGATACGTATGAAAGGCTGCCTGTAATAATACAACAAAAACAAAATAAACCCTACTGTTGGGAGAGCTCTCCAGGAGGCACCTATTCCAGACTCTGCCTTTGGGCAATACCCATGCTGTCTGGCTATGCGGTTTGTAAAGCTCTTCAGGGAATATAATTACACAACCAGCTCCACTACCTTTAAACTCTTACAATCAGGACATTTTCCTTCCATCTTCAACAAATCCCTCCCAGCAGCAATTTAAGCCCATTTTCTATTATTCGATGTTCAATGTAAATGGAGACCAGCTGCTTGCTTACCAGTCTGCCCAGAACAGAAAGCCTGGCTCACACACAAGTAAGTTCAAAAGAACCAAGATAAATTGTGTACTATGCTCCACAAACCTTCCTAAAATGGCTAGAGCACAGTAGGTCCTCGGTGGAATTGTTTAATTCTACAAAAGGAGTTGATACCTAGGGAAACTATCTTTACAAAGGACTTTCCAAAACAAACTATGAGGCTTGTGCTGTCATTTAGCAGCATATAGTCATGTCTCAATATTGATCTCCTGGAGTGAATTCATGCTTACTCATACATTACAAGTGCCCAAATACTATGTTCCTGCCCCTGATATTTTAAATCAGATAGCCTTCTCTGGGCTAGCCTACCTCGATAGACTAATCTTTTTCTTAATGATTTAATATTTGAAGCCAGGTTGGGGGGAGGGGGGTGCAGGAAATGGGTGAAGGTAATCAAAAGCTGTATCTCTCTTTCAACTATGTTCAAGTCACTCTGAAGAGTACTTTCTATGAGAACCCGCGGCAGGGGTGGGGTGGGGGGAGTGGGGTGGTGGAATTGGGTGGAAAAGATAAAACCCTAGATAAGAACTATCTGGGTGAAATATAAATTACTATAGTTCAAATGAATTTTAATTCTGGCCCCAGTTAGATCAACTTATCTGTCTACGTATTTTTCTGTTTTCATCTTCTCTCACCGAGTTACTGGTCAGGGAGCAAGCGAGTCTCTTTAGCTTCAAGTTCATCCACTGACTATTGTGCTTACCAGAGGTTATAAAAAGAATGGTGACTGCTGATTCTCATTAAGTTAAGCAATGAGCAATGATAACAGCAGGCAAGTTTCACAATCAGTGCGACTAAGAATCTGAAGCAATAGTAAAAACCAGCATCTATTTTTGGCAAATTCTGATTAAATCAAATATTCGAGGCAGACGTTAGAAGAGGCAATCAAATTTTGCTGCCATTTCAGAGAAGGGAACTTAGGGGAAAAGAATTCTATATTCTTTCCTATTCATCCTCTTGCTTTCACTTCCACAATATATCCCAAATCCATCTATCTCACACCTTTTCCTCCAGTACCATCTGATTCTAAGCCATCTCAATCTTTGATTATACTAAAACAATAGCCTCCAAATCTTCTCTGCTTTTATTCTCTGGCCTCTCTACAATCCATTCTCCATAGAAAAGCTGAAGTGAAATTGTGAAATGTTAGTCAAAGAACACCACATCCCTTAGTTTAACCCTCCAAAGGCACTATATTACTTGGCCTTGCCTACAAATCAGACCAATCTCCTACTATACTTTTTGTCATGCTTCAGCCACTTTGAAAATAACAATGCTGCTTATATTTTTCTAACCTATGTCATGTCAAAAAGCCCTGACCCATCTTTGGCCTTTTTCTTTTCAAGTCTGCCATAAAGGACTCTGCTTGTAACAGAACAAAACAAAACAAACAAAATAGTTTATAACTTGTTATGTAACACCACCAACACAAGGAGTTCAGAGGCCTAAATTTCACACTAACCATTAATCCGTTATTTATGACACAGCCAGTCTACCTAGGCGATCTGCAGAAATAAGGTTTTGGTTTTGGGGGGAAAGATGATTGTTTTGACTTCTTTACTTAAATATATTAGATAACAAACAGTCTCCTAAAAGTCAAATTTTGTACAGTTGTTGTCATGGACAAAAATTTAAACATAGGATTATGTAAAATCATGCAAATATATAGCTATCAGCTTACATGAGATAATGATTAACACTAACAAAATTTTTATTGTAACTTACAACTCCCAAATTTCAAAGGGCATGCATGACCATCCATGGGGAAATCCACCAATCTCATGGGACACTCCGCACTTATGGTGAGTCTATGATGGAAAATACAATTAAAGTAAATTTTTTCTCTAAAAGTAAAATTATAGAATCTTAAAAGGAAGGAAGGAAAGAAGGAAGAAAGGGAGGCAGACAGGCAAGAAGGAAAAGAAGGAGGGAGAATAAAGATAAACAGGGAATAAGGAAAAAAAAGACTACCTCATTGTGTATAAAATAGTGCCATTTCTCATAATTCTAAAAAGCTTATTTGGGGCTGTCATATTATGTGAGACAGACTTCTTTCCATTCCTGAAGAAAGTATCAGGAGTCCATACTTTTGTTACCATCATGTTGTTCAATCTCAAAATTTCAATGGGACCATCATATTTTAGTCTTTTGTCAATCCATGTCTGTCTGAAGAACACATCCATTGTGTATTCCTAAGAAAAGTAGTTTGTGACATATTCAAATAACAGATGATTACACATAAATATACAAAAAAATGAATTAAATTCTAGTCTCTTTCCCACTCATATAAAAGACTGCCCAAATAAAAACTAAATTAATAGCAGCAGAAACTTCCTTAAATCAATGGAACAAAAAGATTTTCAACAATTAAAGCATGTTATACTAGTATCCATACATTTATTAGATAAATTACCATACATATTAATCATTCACAAATAATAACTATAGCCCTGGTTGGTGTGGCTCACTTCGTTGAGCATTATCCTGTGCACTGAAGGTTGGGGGTTAATTCCCAGTCAGGGCACATACCCAGGTTGTGGGCTCCATCTCCAGTAGGAGGTGAGCAGGAGACAACCTATCAATGTTCCACTCTCACATCATGATTCTCTCTCTCCTTCTCCCTTCCTCTCTCTCTAAAAAATCAATAAAAATATTCCGGATGAAGCCAGGGCTGCAAGGGCTGAGCTCCTTGCACGAATTTCATGCACTGGGCCTCTAGTAAATATAATAAAACTGCCAGCACCAGGTAATTATAGTTGCACTTTACTTTAGACCAGGTAGCAAAATTAGTGACTGTGTAACAAATATCATTGCACAATGAACCATAAAATTGTCAGCATGCCTTTAAGACAAATTAAAATATATGAATAAACTTTATGCTCATAAAATTTATTAACCCGTTGTATACCATAAGCATCTATAGATGCTTTAAAATCATTTTTTGTGAGCATTTGCAACTGAAAATGTTCAAGAACACACGAATTGTGAGCAATATATTTATTTTTATACTATTCATTGCAAATTGATTTTTTAATTAAATTCAAAATATCGTGGCATGTGAAGCTGGTTTCCGTTTTGGACGCGTGGCAGTTAACTGGTTAAAATTAGTCCAGGAGCCCCAGAGTCAAGTAAAAAAGTTAAGTGGTCCAAGTGTTTGACCTTGAAACAAAACATATTTAATATGAGCACAACTGAATGGATGAATTCATCTTGACCAGTGCTTGGTGTTCTAAGTTCCTTAAACATGAGAGAAAGCAAGGGAGAGAAGGGGCGGGTGGGGATGGGGAGTGAGCAATTGAGCCAACATGGAACACTAAATGCAATCAGGACTACAATATAAAGTTTCATACCAAAACCAATTGCAATCACTACTTTTCTCCCCTTCAATAATTTTCTAAGGGAAAAGAATACTACGTACAAGGTTGTGTCATGGAGACCAGTAACAGGAAAGTTCTTTTCTTTGTTGAGAATGACTCCAAGCCAAAAACTCCAATGTTAGAGCTAAAATGCAAATTCAATGTCTTACTTCTTATAAACTTCTGAGCCTAATTAGGCTGTTCTTTGACTTTCTAGCTCTAACTTTGTGTGATTGACAGCAAAAATACATATTAATTGCCCTCTTTTCTGTTTCTTTTCTTCAAATCTCAAAAAGTACATTAAATTTTCTTAAGTACCTACCATTTCAACATCAGAAACAGGTCCAAAGCTGGTGACATATATGTCAGTTTTTACTTCTGTAACAGGACCTAGTGGGTATGAAGTAAATAAGTGTGAAAAAATAATTACCAATTTTACAGGCAAGGTGGGCTTTGATAATCAAAGAGTAAATACAGATACGACATCTCATATTTTTACAAACATCTTCAATTTTCAGTGAGATAATGCATCTCTACAAAAAAAAAATGTAGACAAAAGAAGAACAAAACCAGAAAGCAGTGTTTACTTACAGGCAAACCAAACAAATCAAAACCAAAAAATACCAATTACTTACCAGAAACTTGTTTCTTCAAAGATATATCACCCCCAGGCACTGTTAAGACAGGCAGTGCAGCGAACAAAAGCTTTAGCCTTTGTAATTTTTTTATAGTTCGTCATCTGATTGGCCTTTTAGTAAAGAAGTGAGCTTTTAAAAAGAGGGAACTTAGCCGCAAGGCAAGGAGGAGAAAAACATAAAGTCTGCAAGAAATGTACCTTCAGAGAGTTGAGAATACTGGTAAATAACAGGCACAAATATAATTCATGTCACCTTTAACAATAGGCAGACCATCCACTGGCAATTGGGATCAAAGACAAGCTCTCCTATAAATCAGACCTATTCATGCTCTGCCACCTAAAAGCTGTGTGATCTTGGGCAAGTTACTTATCCCCTCAATAGCAGCAACCATACATATAAGGCAAGATTGTTGATAGGGATCAAATGAAACTGCTCATATGAGACTATGAACCAAAGAATCTTTCACAGAAGTATTTATTAAGTAGTAGCTTCTCTTTGCTTCTGATAATGGCCACACTGAGATTCTTTCCTAGGCCTAAATAAGACTGATGCAGGAACAAATATATGGGTGTGTTTGGCATCTTGACAATGGGTTGACACAGACTGTAGACAAAGGAAAATTGCCACAATCTGGATTTAGCATAATGTGTAAAATCAAGAATTCTGGAATTCAAATTTGAGTCTAACACTTTTTAATTGTTTGATTTTGCCCAAGTCATGTATCCTCGGAGGTAAGGGTTTTAATAACAGAAATAACATATGTAAATCACTTGTTCCTGTCTCTAGAACATAATGTGTTCAATAACGATAGTAGTTATTTGTGTATATATAATATAGCTTTTTATAATTAACAAAGATAAAAATTGTCTTCTTGAACATCATTTCCTTACAAGATGATTTATAATACTCTATGACCTGGGGCTATGTACTCCATACTGAAAAAAAAATAACATCTGTTATCAAGATAAACTATTCCCCTTGGGTACTGGTTGGGTGAATGAATTTATTCCAAAAATGACAAAGAAAAGTTGGTATAGCTTAATGCCCTAGGTCTAAAGTTATCCTCATAAAAATGAATCAGAATATTTCTTCCTGTTTAGGATGAAGACTGAGCCATAGAAAGAAAAATACTTTGAAGGAAAATGAGAAAATTCTTTCCTGAATAAGTATCCTAAAAAAAAATATATATATATCCTTTGGAAGTACAGTCAGACAAAAGGCATAGATCAAGCTGATCTGTCATGAGTTTTCATTTTTATTTTTTTAAATATATATTTTATTGATTTTTTACAGCGAGGAAGGGAGAGGGATAGAGAGTTAGAAACATCCATGAGAGAGAAACATGGATCAGCTGCCTCCTGCACACCCCCTACTGGGGATGTGCCCGCAACCAAGGTACATGCCCTTGACTGGAATCAAACCTGGGACCCTTCAGTCCCCAGGCCGACGTTCTATCCAGTGAGCCAAACCGGCTAGGGCATGAGTTTTCATTTTTAAAAAATAACACCTTTGGAAAACAGAGAACGTATGAGAAGTTAGTTGAATTGTTATTTGAATGAGCAATTTGAAACTACAAAAAGATAGTAATAATAACTCATTAAAGCCAAACTGTTCCAGGAAGAGATAGGTATTCAGGAAGCGGGTAACATGTGTTGAACCTTAGAAGATGGAGATTTCACTCAGAGTGGTCCAAGGGTGGGAATAATCACTCTGCTAGTTCCTTAAGGACAATTACTAAAGTATTAAAAGCACCGTTTTACACTGTAAGTCTGGACAAGGAGAATTAAGTTACTTAGAAGAATTAAAGTTGAGTATATTGGGACAACTAGACTGTTTGACAAGATTCTTGAGAAAAATCAAAAGTTACTTTGAAGATCAACTTAGGGCAGTGGTTCCCAGACTTTTACTGGATCAGAATCCCCTGGAAGCCTTGTGAAAGCACAGATTGCTGATTCAGTGGGACTAAGGTGGGGCCTATTTCAAATCTAACAGGTTCCTAGGTGATGATGTTCATTTTACTCCAGTTTACAGGCAATGTGCATCTGTTGTTTTTAGATAGTATGGGTCCTGGAAAGTAATAGGTATCTATGGGAGTGCGGGAAGTAGAGGAGAGGGAGGAATTAAGCCAATGACAGTTTTCCTTATAAATTTATTTCAAGGTGTGTGGGTTTATGCTAATTCTACTTGAAGCATAATGATTCTATGATATTAATGGATAGTTTCAAAGATTACATAATATATCACTTTTCAATGATTCTTGAAAAGGTTTTGCATTCTGAATTTCAACCTTGGTATTTGTGACATTACTCAGTATTTGCTTTATCTGGCATTAAAAATCTTTGAGATTGAGTCAGGTCCTAAAAACATATGATGGGTAAAGGGGTCTCATTGAGACACTCATTCAATAAACATTTTTTTTGAATGAGCATTTGCTGTGTGCCAGGTCCCATGCTAGGCCCTGGTGCTGACTATGCTAAATGAGACTAATGAGTTCCCTGCCTCATGGAGTGAACATGTTATTGGAAAAGTCAGAGTAAAATAAAGAAATAAATTCAATGGAAGAATACTTTCATTCAAAAGGGGAACAAAAGAAGCTGGTAATTGTGTGAGAGACTGGGAGGACCACTCTTGATTTCTTAGCCACTCTTCCAGCATAAACCATAGAAAGAGCTGAAATGATCGCATTCCAGGCACAGAGAACTTTAGGGGAAAAGCTCAGAGGGAGAAAATACCTTAGTGTGTTTAGGGACCAGGAAAAGGCCAATGGAACTGGAGCAAAGCAAGTGAAGAAGACAATGAGAAGAAATAAAAGCCACAGAGACAGAGCAAAAACCAGGGTGAGTAGACATATTCTGAAAGTGGCATCTTTTAAACAACATATTGATAATATATGTTATAGGAACAGTTCTTAAAACTACATGGGAAAAACTTGTAGAAATTGCAGTGACTGGTGGGAGACACATAAAGAGGTTGTTGTGGGCTAAATGATGGTCCTCCCAAATTTATATTAAATCTCTAACCCCCAGTACCTCAGAATGTGACCATATTTGGAGTTAGGGTCTTTAAAAAGGGAATTCAATTAAAATAAGGTCAGTAGGATGGGCCCTAAGCTAATGTGACTTGCGTCCTTATAAAAAGAGGAGATTAGAACACAGGAACACACAGAAGAAAGACCATGTGAAGACACAGAGGCAAGACAGCCATCTATAAGCAAAAGGTAGAGGACTCAAAAGACACCAACCCTGCTAACACCTTGATCTTGGACGTTGAGCCTCCAGAACTGTGAAAAAATAAACTTGTTATTGTTTAAGCTACTCAGTTTGTGGTACTTTGTTATGACAATCTGAGCAAATAAATACGGAGGTTCATCATTTTTCCCATGTTTTCCCCAAGTGTTCTCACTCTCATATGTCGCACAGCTCTGCCTCTGCGTACAGGTTGTGATAAGATGCTTGATTTGTATCCTTTAATCATCAAGGATTCAAAGTAAGGAAATTTTATGATCTGAATTGTATGTTTTACAAAATCACTCAGGCAGTTGTATGGACAACAAAGTTTAGGGGGGCAAGAGCATGAGAAAGGTTCTTCGAAGAGGCTGTCGTCCTAGTCCTGCTGAGGAATGATGGTGCCCTGAACTAGAGATATGACCAAGAGGATGGGGAGTGGACAGATGAAGGGGCATGTTGTGTGTGGAACTGCTCACAGTAAATGGGTTTTCTCCAAAGGACAATAAACAGGTATATAATAATTCTATGACTTGAAGGTTTACTATGTATAAGGCAGGCTACAAGGCTCTTCCCATATGCTATTTCATTTTTAAAAAAATATATTTTATTGATTTTTTACAGAGAGGAAGGGAGAGGGATAGAGAGTTAGAAACATCCATGAGAGAGAAACATGGATCAGCTGCCTCCTGCACACCCCCTACTGGGGATGTGCCCCCAACCAAGGTACATGCCCTTGACCGGAATCGAACCTGGGACTCTTCAGTCCATAGGCCGACGCTCTAGCCACTGAGCCAAACTGGTCAGGGCTGCTATTTCATTTAATCCTCTCGCCAACCCCCAAAGGTAATATGATCATGAGAATTTTATGGATATGGAAACTGAGCTAACAGAGATTAAATATTCTATGCCAGAGTCAGAATTATAACTCCCTTGTATTGATCTCCATAGTATGTTCTAGCTTTACTACACTAATTATATCCTTAAATAATTAATCAGTAATTAATTATGTTATATAATTTTATATCTAGTATGTAACCGCCATGCCTACATTTCCTGTTTTGTTTCTGAGTAGCTTCTGAACTGTGTTCCTGCAGCTCTTTCTATGCCTTTGCTCAGCTTGAGTCTCTCTTTCTCCCATTAACAGCAAAGACAAAATCTTAAGCCTCCTTGAAGTCCCCAACTGTCATAGTGCTTTGCACATACTAGATGCTGAGTAACTATGTGTTTGATTGTGTTCCTAATATCATCCCAGTCGTGACGTAAAAACATTCCCCAAAGGAAAAATTACTGAGATTCATTTGTTACATCAGTTAAGCTAAAAATATTTCCCGATAAAAACAGGAACTGCAGCTTATTTATATTTGTATCCACTCCCAGAACTAATCCCAGGCCTTAGATGTAATAGGTTTCCAATAAATCAGTTCTCAGGGAATAATGGTAGCTATGCAATTAAGAATAATTCTTAGGGACGCTTCCTCTAACAGTACTGTTTAGGATGTTCAAATCAACCTTACTAAGAGCATAA